GGCCGTATGCACTTGCAAGTGTATGCAGTATTGTGCAAAGGCGGCAACAGTCAAATCAACATGTCAGACAAAATCCGGTGCTTGTACGGTGGCTTATCGCTTCGAAAGATCTGCTCGTTCTCTAGGCAATGCTACATGCACATGGCATGGCGCAAAAGGCTTTTGTTCACGATTGCCACACTGTCTCTCGACATCGCGTCAAACGTCGGCGGCCGGTTGCTTGGCAACTGCCAGACACGCCGGGAGGCGGCTTTTGGAGCTACATGTCTCATGACGAAAAGCTGGACTGCAAAGCTTCCTCAATCCTGCATCCCGTTCACACTCTGAACAAAATGCGAAACTGTGCTCTACCGGAGGTGGGCACAACAATCATCTACGCCGCGATTGAGTGAAGGTCGCAGGTTTAGCCGCGATGTCGCATATTGTCGCATTTATGTACCGCCAAAGGAATCTCCCGGCGAGCATCTCGAGCTCCTTTTCGGACCTGCGGCCTCCAGTGTTCTTTGGCCCGAACGGGCAGGTTCATGACAGAGCTCTGGGAGGTCTTCGTCCAAGAACATCTCGGAGCCTTGAACTGGAAGCCCTCTATAAGGGGAGAGCACCTGCCTTGAGGCTTGAGGCCTGAGCGGTAGCGACGGACAGACCTCCCAAGCCTTTCGCGCTTGCAGGTCGAATTCGTGCACTGGGATGAAATAAATTGCTTAGGGTTTCGGATGCAGGGCATGATGCAAGATGCTAGTGAATCAGGCGTAGTGAATCAGGCCATCTTCTTTATACTGGCCAAGCTGTTGAATTTTGTCCGTAGGTTCAATGATCATTGATGTTACTCTATCTGTTGCCATGCCTTCGACCTGGGATCAGGCTCTCGGTGTTCTCGAGCTGAAGGACACGAGCTGAACGTAGGCGTCTGAAGAGTTGGAAACTTGTTTCGCGTTAACAACACTACCCTCACAGAAATATATAGATACATACAGGTCGGAAAACCACTAAATCAACACATGGAGCTGGAATAAACAGAATAGCAGAAGGAGCTTCATGGAAACACATTGACACTCACACCTGTGTACTGATGTCGACAGCGTACTGATGACAAGGGGTAAACAGCACACCAACAGTTGTTACACGACTCGATAGACTTGTATATACAAGTGTAAGCTATTCATCTTCGTTGAACCCATCATTACTTCGTAAAAGAGGTAGAATTCTTGCGGGGTATCTTGAAGCTACGTGAGTGTCGGCCTCAGACTCAGAGCTGCTACCAGCCCAGCCACTCCTGCGCTCCGAGAAGGGGTTTCCAGATGGAGCGAGGCATGTCTTGCAATGTGACATTTCACCTCAAGCTCCGGTGATAGTCGAAACCATGTCTTCCAGTTATGTACAGGAAAGATCTGACAACTAAGCAGAGAAGCATCTGTTGGATATTTCCGGTTGGGCCACACAAAAACAGCCTCAGACACTGGTCTTACTGGCTATGCCTCACTATACTTATGCAAAGACCCGCCTTTGCCAGCCTCAGCCGCAGCTCTAGATCCGGATCGTTGAAGCCCTGGCATACAGGCATCTTGTCTTCCTAGAGCGGCTTTATCCACCCACCTGCAAAACGGCTAGGGAGGGGGAAAATGGATGGGGCAATGTCTGAACCTTCGTCGCTTGCCTTTCCTAAACGGCCGCTGTTTCCCGGCATCCCTTCACTCAGGCCCTACCCGCAAATAGGACAGGGAGCCTGCAGGAAGGTCATTCCAAAGATTCCAACCTGGCTTTTGCCGGGGTCGTTCGAGGCACCAGGAAGGAATCCTTTTGAGGGGCTTTGGGGTCGACGTGACTGGTTTATTGGTTTCAGACTCTATACCCGTATGCACTGCCTGTAGCATACAAATGACAATCCGGGAGTGGTGTGGGAAGCCTGGAAAACTGCATCTTTGGCGCCGAGTTTTGGGATATGAGCTGCTAATTCGTACACGACGGACAGACTGGTGTTTGCACAGATCGCAGTCTGCAACGTCAGATGTTCCCTGTTGCAACTGCCCAAGGGAAAAAAGGGGCGAGTAGAGAGGTCTCGATTGCTTGAGAGACATTTCGGGACTCTTCGTGGGCCTTGCTCCGGTTCTGGGCCCGAGCCCTCATCCCCCGTGCAGCTCTCACTATAGTGTCTTGTTCTTCAGAATCATGTTCACGTTTAAAAGAAATATATGTATATATAATCTATACATAAATATATGTGTAAATATAATGTGCGTATTCTGCATATTGCTGTATCATATCACCATTGGTACTCGAGCAACTCGGGCCTTGGGCATCTCCTTGGACCATTCGTCGGGAACCCTTAGCAGCGGGACTCTTTCTGACGTGGCGTCCGGATTCGACCCGAAATGGTATCAGAACTAAAGGCTATTACAAACAGGGCCTTTTTGTAGAAACCCTCTTCATCAGAATGACAGAGTATGCGAAGACAGTCTTCGTGATGATCTTCGAAGTAGCAAGAGTTTGTTCGAGCAGGGCAGATCATCCTGAAAGAGTCACAACAGTGACACCAGGATACACCGGGCAAGGGCCAAATTGCCCAACTTTTCTTGTCTCAGGGCTACCGCTCCGGATACAAACCACAGCGATTAGAGCCGGCCCTGGGCCGGACCGACTCGAAGCCGAGAGGCAGCCACTTGGACCCTTTGTCGGCCAAGTGAGCTTTTTCGCCTCCGCAAGGGGTGCTGGGGCTTAAGGCTACTAAGGTTCAAGGCACATGGTGGAGTCTTATGGTGTACGGTTCTTTGAGGTAGCATTCCGCCGCCGAGGTACGATAACGACCCCATCGACCGGCCAGTGTTCAACACTGTGTGAACAGAGGCTCCCAAATTCAGACCCTTATCGATTCGCCGGCTCCCCTGCATGCAAGGTTGAAGCAGATGGGTGAAACTGCCCTTGGGAACTAAGTCCATGGCTCCAGTACGGGGCATCAATGTTTTCCTTGGCTTGCACAGACTCATGTAGTCAAGAAGCCCTCCACTTGCTTTTCGCCTGGTTGTGTTTGTGTAGGTGCTCTTGCGTTCGTTATTCTCACTACAACCATGCGAATCAGTACTGCTTACTAACCCCTGCCTTCCTGCCCATTTGCCGTCTGGCAAGGCATGCTCATTCTGCATACCAAGATTCGCCGCTCTCTTCTTTGCACACGCGGAGAAGGCACTGCGCGCAATGCCAGTCTTCATGCAGCGTCAGGTCCATCATGTAACCTCCGACGTGGACTCTTGCTTTTGAGAAGTTTCGCGACAGGCCCGTGAACTCATGGAGCAGGCCAGGACAAGCTTGTGCTGTCGACCCACATTCCCGTAGGGCTGTGCTGCCAGGAAGCGGTTTGCGTGGCCAAGAGAGACTGGATTGTCAAGCATGTTGTAGTCCTGAAGAAGGCGAAAGTTAGACTGTCACCAATAGTACGAGAAGTCATGTGAGGAGAAGTCGAATTGGATTGAAGGGTCGGCACTGCTGTGGGCGAAGACTAGCTACTCAAACTGAGTGAAACTCCCATCCGATAAATCTACAGGAGCTGAGACAATGGCAAGCATCCAGACACAATGCAAGCGACGGGACATAGACGAATAGAAATCGAAACATGAACATGGATAACTGCACACTGCGCTGCTGGACTCAGCTACAAGGCGGCATGTCATTGGTCCTTGAGGATAGGCCGCATGCGTTCTTCGTCGATTGATGCTTCCGCCATGCGTTCTGTACCTCGGATTCGTCAGGTCCGTAAGATCATGGAGAACTCGATTGAACACTCGAACCTGTCTAGCACAGAACAGGACCGCACAACTCCTGTTTCTTGCTTGCATCTGTTTACAGCAGCTCTGGGACCTACCGTGGCGACACAAGGCAACGGGCTAACGCATGCGTCCACATGTCTCTCGCATCGCTACAAACCTTTCGGCGACTGCTCACACAGTGGTGCAGTGCAAAACTGCCTTTGTCTTGTGCTTGTTTCCTTGACCAGAGCAGCAATCACTATTGCAAGCCGCTTAAACCCACGCGAATGCTGGGGATACCAGCAGGATTAGAAGTGCACATGGGGATAGTCCCCTTTGAGCGCCCAAGCATTACACCATCTGCTCTATGATGCGAAGCTCCGGGCGCAGGTCTGGGAGCCAGCCCGCAAGAAACAAAAAAAGAGCAGCGATGCGACGGATGTCCACCTGGAATGACCTTCATGCTATCATCACCATGGCGCCACAACAACTAAGAATGGTAGTCCGGCCCGGTTGCGAGACTTCGGCTTGGTGGCAGGAAGGCCTTGCCGAGGCATGGAAGAGTAGGGTCGGTGATGTCGGAGAGCCGGTATGCTTTTGAGTGGTGCGAAAATCCAGGGCTGAAAGAGAAAGATGGTGATGATCTGCTCAATGCACAATGCAATAGCTCTCGAGCACGAGTCTAGCGCCCGAGACACAAGGTCATCTCATCTTGCTGCAAGGTGCTGCAAGTTTTGGGTCACTGCAGATTCCAGATGTATGAGGGGTAGATAATGCTACATATGCTTTACAATATACAATATTTGCATTCTTCCGACTTTATTTACATGCTAAGTTTAGTGCCGTCGTTGTCATCCTCCTCATCGTATTAGCCCTGATATGAACCGGTCGTCGACGACACTGGAAAGGCCTGGTCCTGCTGGGCCGGCATTTGAGCTTCGGCGTGTCATCAGCACCATCCTCAAAGACGGCGCAATAGTGGAAGGATTTCGAGTTTAGGGTGTGCTTCTGTTCGCATGCTTCCAACAATGCTGAAGCGCGAACATCACTTGATGATCACTGTCGTTCGACCCATGGGCTTCATTCGAGAAGCTGCCTCGTCTTTCTAGCGCTTTCTAGCCAGGACCCGAAAAGGAGCCCAAATCTACCCTCACCCCTCGCCCTGTGTCCCTCACCCGTGGAAACAGCTGTGCAAGAGCAAGAAGCACCGTGTGACCTTGTGGAACCACATGGCGAAATCAGAAACACGTCTTAATAGAGCGCCTCCCCGCCGGATTCATGTCCGCAGGATCCTCTGGCGGCGGGATGATGAACTCCTGGCGATGCCCGGTCCGGGAATATAGTTCACAATGGCTAGTGCCACACCACCTATGTGCATGAAGTGCGTGGCATACAGTATCGTGGCAGGACGATGCTGGTAGGGTCGACACATGCTAGATGACACAGCCAAGGATATAGAAGCAGTAACGACCTTAGCAACAACTGTCCAAGGACCCCACACTACGATACCCAAGCCCATAGCGCTACTGCACTCGAAAAAACTGACAGGATCGGTGGGTAGTAGAAGAAGAGGTGCTCAGTTCAATGCCCATCAAGATGCCAATGTTCACTGCGACAATTCTGAAAGCTTTTCCTGCCCGCAATTCGCTTGCACAGGCCCTGTTTCCTGTAACCCAGGGGGCCCCACCTTATCGGATCTTTGCCCCTCCCCGTCGGGTTCCTGGCCGGCACGGGTGATGTCCCAGGTCCGCGTGCGGCCCAGCCGCTTTCGAACTGTCAGGACCTGTCCCATTTCCCTCCTAAGCCCTGAACACAATCCGCAGCTTTGACGGTGGTCGCAGGAAAAGTAGCTTGTGGACATTCTGCGGCTTGACTTCACCGGCATGTACGATACAACATAGCGGCGAATGAATCTGAAGGAAGATGGAGGTCATTTGCCGACCCAGCACCTCTTCTCTTGTGAGGTGGACCAGGGAATAGAGTCCGCACTCCTGGCCAACGCTTAGGGCTTATGGCCGTTGGTTTAGACAAGGTTTGGGTACTTAGTCTTTGGGTTTTGGATGTTGGGGGGAAGGTCTCCTTCAGCAAGGGTTTTGAGTAATTAAGTAAGGTTGAGTCTGAGGGCCAAACCAAGGTGCTTTCAGGGGAACAGCCTGCTGCAGTGACCGGTATTCCAAACTGGTAGTGGGGTCCTTGCTCCACTCTAACAAGTCGAAGATCGTTAACATGGACATGCTCTGGAGTTGCTGTCCTGGCAGTGGTGCGACCTGCTTGACTGAAAACCCAACTCTGCCTACACAAACTCAATGAGTCCCACTGTTGATCCCACCATATTCGCCTCATCGGATAAAAGCTCGGCGATGTCGTTGCACCGAGCATAAAGCACGACGAAAGCCTCCACCTCGGTGTTGGGAGTTGTTGTCATGGCATCAGAGCTGTCGATGGGCACAAAATGACACCGGTGACTGGCAAAAACATGACAAAGCGCGCAAATCATAATCCCATAACCAAGACATATGCGGCTCCCAGAGCGGAGGGTCGCCCCATAGAATATCGGCTATAGCAAGACGTCTTCAGGAGCCACAGTTCTGGCTGGAAAGAAGCAGGGTCCATGCAGTCTTACGCCCCCTCCATCTCGACACAGCGCCTTGAGCATGCCAAGCATGGTGTCGTGTTCAAAAATGTTGAGGCTTTCGGAACCTCACCCTAGCCGCGCCACCCGTGGCGAATCCCGGATCTCCGTATCCAGCTCCAAAGCTGTGGCTGGAAGTGCTTCAAGAAGCCAGCCTCAGCATTAGAGCGCTGGAGCTGTTGGGTCGCTTGACGTACAATCTGGAAGCGCTAATTATGTTGCTGCTCGCTGCAGGGCGGCGAGAAAGACTTGAGTGGCTCGTACATGCGAATTCTAAACCGCTACACACGTACGCAGGTTATAGTCCAACCGGAACTCGATGGCAAGGGCCCTGCGCAGCCAGCGTATCTTCCCTGCTCTCGTCATAGTGTATAGGGAACGATCTACTGCGAAGCATGGGCTCCGTCATTGATGACCGCATCGTTTTGCATCTCGTTTTGGTTTATGGCTTCGGGTTCGGGGTGTGTCGCGCCGACAACCAGAAAGAAGCAATACATGTGTCAGTACAAAGACAGCCTCCACCAGCAGGACCAGCAAGACTATGTGAGAATACTAGCCTGGAAGTGGTGTCTGAATAAAACATCTCAGTGTCTAAGGGTCTCTTTGCAAGGGGCTCCCTCTTCGAAGATGCCTGCCTCGGCAAAAGTTTACTGCTATGCAGACGGTCGAGTATCCCCAATTCGGATCATGGGAAGTCCTTAAAGGTCCCAGTCGGCACCAAACATGGGTCTGTCTCTCTCTCTCTCTCTTTCTCTCTCTTCGTGTTCACCCATAGATGGGGATGTATACGCAGGATTTAGGCACCTGGATCTTTAGGGTGGGGCAGTCGCCGCCGTGGGGCCACACTGCTCTGGTGTGAGCACGAGACGATGCGCAACGGAGCGGAGGACCTTCACCTTGAGACTCCTCGGCTGTTGGAGTGCTTCTTCCTGTTCTTCGCTGCTACAGCGACTTTTCTTTCTCCTCATCCTACTACGACGACGACGTCTACTACTGCTGCTACTACTGCGACCACCATGACATCCACTACGGCGACCGAGTACAAGTCGATGTTAAACTATGCAGCCAGAACGAAGGCAAAGAATTGGAAGACTGCAATCTCAAAAAACTACTACTGTATCATCAGTTTGGAAAATATGCCGGACTTGGACTGCTGGAACTGGGCACTGCCGTGGCGTTCGATAGCGTGGGATGTCGTGGCTGTAGCATGTCGCAAAGCTCGGTGCTTTGACACTCCCGGCGAATAGCATAGGAGCAGGACTGCAATGTAAAGAATCCCAAACTGGGTCCTTGCTCAATCGATGTGGTAAGATTCTAGAAGCATTGAGACACAATACCACTGCCTCTTTAGGGGCTCCTTCTTATCGAAGCCTCTATTGACTCTATTCCTACGGCGATCCGCCGCTGCCAGGATGCTGGTTGAAGTCCATGGTCGTCAAGGCCTTCCAGGTGTCTGGCAAATCTGTCTTCGGTTTCCTGAAACGCATTAAACTGACGGGCGAGCTTTGTGGCCTCAACCATTCACCTCTGCTCCCTTGGGCAGGCCTAGCAATGCCATCCGCGGTACAGGATGCAAAACATAGAATGTAGACGAAGCGAGCCTACCTGATGGAAGGACTTAAGCGTGTTGACATGAAGTTAGAAGCACCCGGATGCTGACAAACCAGCCATTCCAGAGCAGAATACGGCGAAGAATGAATTACTTTGCGCATGTTCAAAGGGTGGATTCCGAAACGTTCTCAAACTGAGACCTTCACAGGATTCCATCCGAGGACTGGCTGCACCTGTCTGAGCAGGCGCACGGTTCGATCGGGCGTGCTTGGCGTGCCTCCGAGCCAGGAGCATTGAGCTTCGATGTATGCATCACATAATCAATGCTTCTCCCTCGCTCTAGCTCTTTCTCTCTCTCTCTCTCCATTTTTCTCTCTCTCTCTCGCTCGCTCTCTCTCTCTCTCTCTCTCTCTTCTTCCCCAGGGCATGAGGGGTCGGTTAGACCCCCCGGCCAGTTGGCCCCCCAAATTTCATGGGGTTTTCANNCATGGGGTTTTCAGGGGGTGTGAAAACTACTATTTTCTAATTTCCTCTCTCTCTCTCTCTCTCTCTCTCCCTCCCGGGCATGGGGGACTGTCCAGGTCCCTCGTGCCCAAAGGCCAACCCCTGCTTTTGGGGACAGGAGATTGAGAAACGAAAAGTTGCGAAAGCGTGGGCTAAAGCCATGAAGTAATATCGAGGAGCACCCCCGCGCATCTTTTCTCGAAATCTAGAGGGAGAGCAAAATTACGTTGCCGGATGAAAGGGCGGTGCTTGAAATCGAAGTATAACAAAGGACAGAGTGGCAGCAAGAAACTCTCGCTCTCTCTACATACGAGTGCACAGACAGACAGACAGACAGACAGACAGACAGACAGACACACAAACAGGCTACTACCGCAGGACAACTCCAACTTAACATACTGTACCAGGCACTAGGGACCTCCTCTGACAAGGTCCCGAAAGGCCACCACGCTGGGAACTACATTGACATGGTAGTATAAATTTGTTGGGGAACCTGTCGTCCCGGAAGTGTATGCCTGTATAGCGAAGCTGCTTGGAGGCCGAAGCCGACGACATTTTTCGCTTTCGCGTGCCGCAATGCAGCAAGCAAGCAGAAGAATCTCTGAACTAAGCCAAACTCCCCCGGACTCGTGATGGTAGCCGCCTTGCTTTGGATGGAATGGGGAGCAGTAGTCGAACTTGATCTCTGCTCTTGGTGGCAGCTGTACGTCCGCGCTCCTTTGCAAGAGCCCCGGCTCAGTCTTCAAGGGCTGTGACAGAAAAGGGACAACAAAGCACAGACAGGAGCCTCCATACGCGATAGTTGCCGTTCACGGAGCAATTCCGTATGCACTCGTGATCCTTGGCTGCGCGTTCTTTGTGCATTCTCGTGCGTCGGCATGAACCTCGCTTGGATTGAGTGACTGCAGGCCTAAGGCATCAGATCGACTCCGGTACCTTTAGTCTCTGCAATGGCAATGCGCGGAAGCATGCCAAACCAGCCCAAAGTAACAGCGGCATTAACGGTATCATTTGTTTTCACTACCGCCCTTGCTTGCCACGGCACTCCATGCTTGCTCAGGTCTGGTCGACCCAGTCTCTTGGCCCGATCACCTGTTCAGGATCGGTTGAATGTTCTGGGAATTACTACGACGATCCGAACTGACTGATGCAAGAAGCATTCCTGATGACGAGCTCTGGCAGCGGTGCTGGGAGAGTCACTCCAAGTGGCAAAATCGTGGACATTGAATTTCCGAAGCAAACCGACAGCCTACGCTCTTTTGCTGAGAGGGTGCGCTCCCAGTGGTTGACAATAATCAGGTCATCCAACATCTTTCGATGTGCGGGTTCTGTCACCTGGCAGTTGAACAAAGAGCTTCAAGAGCCTTGGTTTACCAAGCACCGTTTTTCCTGGATCGAAGACGAGAAAGCTGCCAAGTTATGACGACCAGCACATGATTGAATCCAACATGCGAGCATCAGGCTGAGAGAATTCTGTCTGTCGTACGTTTTGCGAGGGGCAAACCCGTGCTATCATAGAGCTCTTGCGAAGGCTTCCCACGACGCAAGTCGCGTGTTCGCGAAACAAGCTTGCTGCGATGCAAGCTTGTTTCTGGCCCGTGGTGCCGAGCCAAGCCTTTAGGCTAGGCTAACTTTGGGCCCGGAACCCCGAGAAATTTTGTGGGCAACTTGGCGGCAGACATCGAACTCGTAGCGCCCGTCGGCACCTCAGCTGCCAGCAAACACCCCCGATCACATTTGACAGCCGCGGTTTCGAGCAGATCGCGGGCAAGTCTGAAAAGCTTCGACGAAACGTAGCTGCATCAAAGCAACACGCGGGGTTGAAGAGAAGCAGGTTCACGATGGCAGCCCGATCTCTGCAAAGTGAAGCCTGCTCGAGTAAAAAGCATAGTTCAACGGACGGAGGCAGCTTTGTGGCTTGGTGCTGACGTTGCAATAATGCAACGTTCCTGCTCTCTCGATGTTGATTACATACTCGGCGCAACTTGTGCGGTTCGATGCGAGTCCAATTGCATGTTCAGCAAAGAGGGGTCATCAGTCATGGCTTTCCTTGTTTCAGCATTCGGCTCGTTGTCGTTTCGTCTTGCGGGGAGTTTGGCCTTGCCAGCCACAAGCCTTGAACAGGCAGTAGGACACAAGTAGTGACCCTTGGAGATTGGCACCTACATCTAGTGCAGTCGATGTTGCAGCGAACATCGATTTGTGGCATGGTCCCAACACTGTCCCCAGATGCCTTTTGGTGAACAGAGTTGACAGCGAGGTCAAAGCCACCTGGCAAGTCGGGCAGTGAACATGCAGTCCGCGGCAGGAACTTGAAGAACCTGTTTCAGCTTCCATTCCTTGCTCTGGTGCTTTAACAACTGCGAAAAGGTTCAGCTTTCAGAAGCCAAGTCATCCAATACTCCTTTGCAAAGGTCATCCTTCACTTCAGCATTACAAGCTCCGTCCGGAGTCTCTCTCCTCAACCCTGCAGCCTCCAGCACCAAATTTCCAGTCAGTTCTTGACATGAATGCCCCACCTAGAGTGTTGATCTCCGGAACTGCTGGCAGCAGTCTGTCAACGACTTCCCCTCGCCTGGGATGTTCATGCATGCGGAAGTTGTATTCGGTTGATATACGGGTGCAGGCCTAGATCGTGAGCTGATAGGGCCGTCACGGAATCCATAAGGGCTGGCTTCTATGGAGATACCATGAAATAGTGCCCATCATACGTTCAGCTCGTTCAGACATTCCTAGACAAGCTGTGCATGGAACCAAAGCACGCCGAACAGGTCTTCGAACCTGACACTTGTGCACCCAAAACGACTCTGCAGCCGAGATGCAACACCGGATCCAATTCCGAGAGATACCTGCAACTTCTTGCGAGTCGGGGAATCTCACTTCCCGGTGCAACGCTGCTAAGAATGCGCACACGACACAGCATCAAAGGTGCAACAGCGCACGATGCAACGCTCGCCACGTCGTTGAAAGCCCGGCCCAAAGCTCACAAGCATACGCTGAACTCGAAAACCTTGACTCCCTCGCCAGCACTTGACAACAATTCCATCCTGACATGGCTGAGCTTGAGGTTGAGGTCCGCAGCCATTGCCTGCGCTTGCAATTTGCAGGTAAGCTCTCAGCCTTTGAGGGCATGTAGGCCAACGTAGGCGCTTTGGGCTGTTGAGGGTTGCTGTGAGGGGTTGGGGCAGCTCGATTCCAAGCGTTTCCACGAAACGTGCTGCTGGCACGAGCTTGGACTTCCGTCGTAAGCTGAAATTTCCAAACACCAGAGCCGAAATCCCGCTCACTACGCTGCGTCAAGCATGTAACCTTGCTGCAAAGACGACGCAGCATGAGCACCCGGCTCGATTCTGCAAGAAGCCCTGAAGCTAGAACCCGGAGCCTTTGCCTACAATCCTCTGTGTTGCAGGACCTTTTCTTGGTTCAGATCCCCTTTGCAGGTTCACATTCGGGTTAGGGCCTTTTGGCTTTTTGGCGTGATACGAAGGATGCCACAAATTGGAACCTAACCAGGATGCCTGAAACGCAGAACAATCTGAACAGGCTGTCGAGAGGTCCACTCAACGGCCAGGCACCTCCAGAAAGAGAAGTCGTGCCTTGCCAGTCCGGGTTTTTGGACTCGAGACATTTAGGGTTGGCTGTTCGCATGTTCGTGTCCGAGCTTGAAACTCGGAAGTTAAGGGGCGACGGCCTTTATGCACGTAGTCTTTGCCAAAACTAAGCTTGACAAGGAAGAACACAGGGGAAGGTGAGGGTGCGAGGACACAGGTACTGATTGATCGATTGATTCATAGGTCGACTGACTGTCGTGTGGCCCCTCGCAGATCTTTGGCAGCCGAGAGCACAGCCGTTTTCCGGACGACAATGTGCGTTGACAGTGAGCCGCATGAAAGGATTCATGCTGTAAAAATTGGTCTCCCCCTTGTGGCCTCTACATCAGCCAGGCTGTTGAAGAGCTGTGCC